TATAAGACTATTTTTCTTATTATTAGTAGTATTATTAAATATAATTTAAAATACATTTTTACAACGAAAACAAATTTTTTGTTAACATGTACTGATTATTAAAGTCAATTTTTAATGTATATCAAATAATATAGAAAAATATGTACACATAAAAATATATTTAATTAATCAGTCGCATTTCCACCTTTGTAAAGTGTTGGTCGGGATGGCTAGCGTGGATATCCACGAGCAACATTGAGCGACCTATTTTTTACAATTTAATCTATATGCATTTGAAAAGGACCTAATACAAGGTCGAAAGCGTTTATGCTTATTTATTTATTTAATTATATAATAAACGGATTAATCACATACACTTTAATAACTGTGTTATTTGCTTCAATAGCCAAGTATCATTATTTATTTGAAAAAATTGATAATTTTTTATACATATGTACTGCAAATCTAGCATCCTATATGACTTCAGAAATTAAAATTTCAATTTGAATAATCGTGTGTAAAAAAATTTACACTGCTAAAACTATAAATATATATTCATATATATTTATTCCGCAAAACAAGTAGCGTATTAGTTCTTATTATCAAATTTTTACTTTTTAAGTTTTCATGCTAGAGAAAAATTTGGCTGCATTCCGATTCAGTGCCAGTACTAAAAATTTATATTTCACGTCACATGTACTATAGATTTTCAGTACTCGCAGTGAATATGGAAATGCAGCTTTTATATGATTGATCTCTTGGCAGAGAATAGTGAAACGCAATTTGTGTGCAAATCGATAGTTACTCGCATTTCATTAAAAGCTTTAACTTCAAGATTAATATGTCGTAAATATGATATGTTTGTTAAAAATATAACTTTTTATTAAAAGTGCTACATCAAAATAACATAAAAGTAAAAATGGGCCTTGGCTGTGTGAGACCTATTGATTCTTTAAGCGCTGTGATTCCAAGAACTACTAATATCGACGTTTCAGCTATTAAAAAATCAAGAATACCAATTATTTTTCTGATTGGAGGTCCAGGAGCAGGAAAAGGTTCGTTGAATTTTATACTGCAAATACTCTAACAATAATTTTATTATTTAAATTATACTTTTTAAATTTTATTTTTAGTTAATAATAGTTATAATAATTTAATAATTTGAAGGTTTGATTGTTTTTTAGAATATATTTTCTAAATTCTTTACTCAACGCAAAAATTATTTGTAAAATATTCTTACATAACTAAGTAGTAAACTACTAATCATAGTAAGCATTTAATATGTAATACATATACAATTGTAAATACATATAGTATACAGTATATAGTCTATAGTATGTATATAGTATATTACACACACACACACACACACACACACACACACACACACACACACACACACACACACACACACACACACACACACACACANCACACACACACACACACACACACACACACACACACACACACACACACACACACCACACACACCACACACACCACACACACCACACACACCACACACACACACCACACACACCACACACCACACACCACACACACCACACACCACACACCACACACACCACACACCACACACCACACACACCACACACCACACACATACATACACACACCTTACATCAAGATAACTCTTTATTGTTATAGCAACTCAAGATACTCGAATAAAAGAACGTTATGGCTTTTGTTATGTAATAAGTCAACAGTTACTGCGTAATGAAGTAGCTACTGGATCCCAAAGAGGCATCATTCTTGCATATTTAATGTCTGAAAATAAACTAATACCTTCAGATGTCATGATTGAACTCATCAAAGCACAAATGTTAAGTTCTTTAAACATCTCACGCGGTTTTTTGTTAATTGGATTTCCTAATGAGAAGAATGAATGTACCCATTTTGACAAACAAATTCGGCCACCGGACCTCGTTCTTTATTTATCAGTCAGAAATACATTATTGATGAACAGGATTCTAGCTAGAATTATTACATCAACTGAGCGAAGAGAAAGCAACTTTGATGAACAGCAATTAAAGCAAATTAAAACATTTAGTAAAATAATCAAACGAATTATGAAATATTACAGGAAACAACTGATAGTGATCAATGGTGAGAAGAACAAAACGAAAGTTTTTAACGACATATGCGAAGCAATTGATAATGTTCTAGTGGATTTTCCGAGCACTTTAGTATTAAAATTCACAAAGTAAATATTATACATAATGAATGATGTGCCATTAATTAGTAATTAATTAGTTACCACACAATATTACGTTATATAATACTATAATTAATAAAATCTTAAGGCTTTTACATCCAAGATTAATCAAAAACTAATCCTAGATAGCACAAGCACACGTTATTTTGACATTGTCATCAAAGTAACATTATTATGACATAAAAATAACGGTCTAATGTAACAATGTCTTACTTTATTATAAGTATTATATCAAATTTTGATGTATATAAATACTCAATAATAATTGGCTCTGACTTGATGTATTCATGTATTAAAATAATAAAAATAAAGTACAAATAAAAAAAAGTAAAAAAATAGAAAAATTGTCAACTCAAGAAATAGATACATAGATATAATTCTTTTAACTAATTATTATTTTAATACGTAGATAGGCTAAATTAGAGCTCTACTTATTATGGATTACTTACCGTACACATCTAAATGTGATATGATACTTTTAAAAATGTCAAGAATTTGTAATATAAAAACCTATCATTTTACATCATAAAGACATCAATTTTTTTTAATTATTTTATTTCATTTTATTCACGTCAGTTTCATTTTAATTATTTATTTTATTTCATTTTATTCATAAAATGAATAATAAAAAAAACTGATGTCTTTATGAAGTTAGAATCAATTATTCATTTTATAAATAAAATAAAATAAAATAAATAAATTTTTAAAAATTGATATTCTTATGGGACACAGCCAATTCTAATATTTTCTTGTTTTTGTTTGTGACTACACAACACAGTATGTTAATGTTTCTTTATTTTTCTATTTATTGTGTTGTGATAGTACAATTATTATTTTATTTAAAACAAATATAAAATAAATAATTATTTTATTTAAATACAAATATTTAATTATAATACAAATATTTTTTATTATTTTCTACCTTACACAATTTTGTGAATTTCTGATTACTTTTGCGTTTACTTCAACTGCTCTTTTCAACCTCTTTTAATTAGCATTAAAATTTCCGAACACTTTCTTCATTAGACCTGAGCTAGTTGGCTTGTGATAAAGAGACACATTACTTGATACGTTATACGTGTCTGATTCTCATCTTACACCGTAAAGATTCGTTCATAGCATTGCGGTCTGTTCTCTGAACAACTTTCCTTGAATTATTTATTTGTTTTACTGCAACAAAACTTATTAAAACTATATTGATTATAAAATAAATTAAATATCTATAAAAAAGTTCTAAAGTTTTTCGAATAAAAGTTGCAGTTAAAATAAATAATTTTTTGATATATTTAATTTTGTAAGTTATTTTTTAATACAGAAGTGAGAATTTCAAAATGTGAAGATGGCCAATACGAGCAACACCTGAGTCTTCTTGGTGAATATGTTTATTATAATCTGTCAAACGCGTTACAATCCACTTTGGAATTTTCTTCAGTAACAATCTGTATGAACAAGCGTTATATAAAGTACTATTTGCCATGGAAAAACAGCAATTAATAAAAGAATAATTATATTCCCGAACAAGCACAAATCAATAAAAGACATACCTGAATATAAACAAAAGATCATTCTAATCGCGTTATGCGGTGTACCGTGTCTGGCACGAATAAAATTGTTAGAAAGGAGTGTGTCAAAATTCTTAGATCAAACACGATCTCACAACCACTGAGATACGGAGTTAACGCATCTTATATATATATATATATATTTATATCCTTATATGTGTTGCCAAATTGCAGAAAACATGTTGAAGTCAATAAACAACATGAAACTGTCAAGACTTTTGAAATTTTGATTTATAATTTTCAAGGAAAAAGAAAAAACTACGGTTTTTAGTTTGTCCGTGTCTGACATAATATATTAATAGAGCTATTCCGTAATTTGATGTGCACCATTTCAGAAATAGATCTTTTTAAAAAAAAATTATATTCAGAATTTATTTTTTAATTTTAAATTAAATTTTCTTTAAGTTTGAAGTTGTTTTTAGTACACAATTTTACTTACTTTCAATTTTGTAGGTCGAGCGGGAAAGAATAATAAAAAATACAAGTTATGAAAGATTTTAAGTGAACTCTTCTTTATTACAATATAAATTGTGTAAGTATTCTTGTGTTATATTACGTACAATATGAAATAACCTTCACATATCGTTGTCAGAAAAATCGTTTTTACTCTCACTATATTAATAATTAATATTTTACAGATGGGTATATTTAACCCAGTAGCTACGGCCGTGAAATATTATATGAAATAGTATATGACAGTTGTGTGCGATGCATGAGTTACATATTTTCCGCGGGGAACGTTGAACACATTGCTTTATAATTTTGGAAACCATCATTAAGTCATTTATATTTAAATCACTCATTGTGACAAGTAGAATCTATTTCCGATATAAATTCTAAGTGGCACAATGGATCTCATTCAAATATTTGAAAGTTCTTGGAAAATATCTATTAGTAATAATTCACATCAACAAACCAATTAATGCCCGTCTAAGAATATTCTTATGATTCACATTAATTCTTTCTTAACTGTGGAAGCGGAAAGTAAGTTTTCCTAATTGGATAATGATGAGAATAACATCTATAATGTGTGGGCTTAATTCATCAAAATTGGACAATATAATTAACAAAGTATTACAATATCATGTCTTTCTTAACAAGATATTTGTGCTGAATTTCACGTTGAATTATCGTAACATTATTATGTCTTGTCACGTAAGCGTGCATGTGTGCTGGTTTTATGTAACGTATATCTTCACAATCACGCGTTCCCCCCCCACTCTCCATATCTAATCATGATGCAAGGAGAATATAGATTGCCGCGCCGGACTGTCTTCCAGGAGGGGAATGCCTGTAACAATATCAAAGTAATATTAGTCAATAAGTACATAACAATACACCATTAGCATTACAACATTAATAAAAACAATACAGTGCAATATTGCAGTTTTTGATATATCGGAATTGGAGTAAAAGAAAAAACTAGGATTAATTGTCACACCGAGTTACTTGTACACAACTTATATCTTGTGTGTGCGTTTACTAAATATATTATAGAACAATATTCTTCTTTTCTCATAAGTATGTAATGAAAATTAGACATAACAAATTTTGGTTTTTCTTATCTCTGTTAAGTAGTTTTTTTAGTGATTTAAAAATTTCTGATCGCAACTTTTTTCTTAGATATAAGAAACATTAGTTTCAGAAAATTTAGATTTTTCAAAATAAAGTTTTAGATTTTTTCTATATTTATTTAACTGTCATTGCAAAATAGTTGATAAATATAATCTTTTTTATTACAACTGAATATTTAAGATAAGTTATCTCACATGAGACGAGGTTAGTTATCACATCATGAATATGCGTGTGAAAGTAATTTGTCATTTCGCGCGTCATCTCAAACACATACAACATTTCTAAAAGTCATAGTTTTATACATTATAGTATCAGCTATGTTTAATGACCGACCCAGTGGTCTCGCGGCCTGAGTGCAGGGGCTGCGAACTCGGAGGTCTCGAGTTCGAATCTGCTTACCACCTAAGGATTTTTTTCCGGGCCGGTCCCTTTCAACCGAGTTTATCGGTTGATCGGCGAACTAAATCGGACCTCCAATAATTAATTCGAGTATAATCCCCCCTCGAATTAATCCCCCTTTCACAAGGCGGTCACAGTCACATTACCCTGAGCACGAGCTTGACACAGATGAGCACGCTCACTGTGAAAGACGGCCGTGTACCGCGTGGTAGTAGTGCTGCACAACAATCCCCCTTTACGTTCTGAGGATAAAAATGACTATAGAATGGCGTATAGAACTAACCTTCCCATAGGTCTACGAGCCATAAGCGCACCAAACCAAACCAAACCATCAGCTATGTTTAAAAAAAGGTTTTTAAAATTAGATAGGAAGTATATAGATATTTATCATATACGAGATATAAATACTCTAAAAAACAGTCTTTACAAAAGAAAAAACATACGCCAAGTACATAAAAACTATTCCAATATACAGACTATCTATTACATAAATCTTTTTTCTGTAGAAGTAAAACACACAGACAATCAACGCAATTAGCCAAGTACTAGACCCGAGACTGTAGACCCCATAAAACGAGAGCTTAAAACAAAAGTAAAGTACAAAAACCTTGGCGTGCCTAGGTCATAACAGGTACTGATTCAAGTTCTATATTGTATATAAACTATTGCTATTGTATATATAAAGACGCAAAATTCTTAGATATATCTAATTATTCTAGTATGTTTTATTATATTACATATATCTTATTAGTATACATATATTTTATTATATTTTTTATTATTATTATATTTTCTTTCTTTATATTTATATTTTTTTGTAGCTAAAACAAGATAACAACTTCAATATGATATAATGTTACTTTTGAAATTCTAAATAAAATATTATATATGCCAATATGTTAGTATTTAGTAATCCATTCACACTTACGTATTTATCAGCAAAATGCTTTTATGTATGTTATTATGACTTATATATACATATATGTGTGTATATATATATACAGGGTGTCCCAGAATTGGTTTAACATCTCTCGTAGGCAGGTAGAAGGAATAAAACTGAGGTAAAAAGTCCTATACCATTTTGCTAGATTCGCAATAGTTACTGAGATTTTAATTAACAAAGATCCGCGAATAATTTTAAATTGAAAGCCGGAGATTCCAGGTTTGACTCCTGGCCGAGAAGTTTTTTACGCAATATTTTAAAATTAGTTAGAGGGGTATCCGGGGTTTTTCATATGTGAGATGCAAATCCAGCATTCCGTATAAATTTAAGAAGTGAGATTTCAATTAAAAAAAACACTTACTTGTAAAAATTTACAAGTAGAATTTGTTACATGTATATATATGTATACGCACAGTTTCCGCACAAACATCCTGCGAATGGCTCGTAAGGCCTTATATATTTCTTTTTTATTATATGTTATATTTCTGTATTAAATATTGCATATTGTAAAAGCATTTTATTCTCTGCATTTGAATACTACAACGTATGACGAACGTTTTAACGCTTACATCGATTGAGCACCTAATTCTTTTAACCACGTTTACTCTTGTGCGCTTGAGCGAGTTAGTCCCGTCATACGCGAACTTTGCGACCGCGTATGGTTTTTACATATTCACGTGTCATGTGTAACAGTTCGCGTATGACAGGACTTAGTCGCTGGACGCGCTCGAGCGCACAAGAGTAAACGTGGCTATAAAAATTAGGTGCTCGATCGGTGTAAGCGTTACAACACTCGTCATACATTGTAGTATTCGAATGCAGAGTCTCGAATTAGGTGCTCGAACGATACGAGAGTTACGCGGTCGCAAAGTTCGCGTATGACAAAACTTACCCGCTCGAGCGCACAAGAGTAAACGTGGTTAAAAAAATTAGGTGCTCGATCGGTGTTAGCGGTAAAACATTCGTCATACGTTGTAGTATTCAAATGCAGAGAATAAAGTACTTTTACAATATGCAATACTTAATACAGAAATATAACATATAATAAGTTTTTGCAAATTGCACGTATTGGCGACTCTTAGATTCGCGAATTTAAAGCTGATTGTAAAGTAATAAACTGTCTGTCTTCTAATTGAAAACTGTATATTTTAATAATGGAACACACAACAAGTTTGTTGACGTTTATTTTGTTCCAGCATCTAATGATTTCAACTACGTGAATTGTATGTAGCTTGTATCGCTCAATGACTAAGAGCATAGATGAGAATAATTGTTGGTAAAATAATTAGATGTTTGAACGGAATGAACTTCAAACAACATGTTGTGTGTTATGTCGTTCAGATAAAAGTCTCAAAGTAGGCTTTCAAACACGATTTGTGTAGATAGCGACTTTAATCTCACGACTTTGAAAGTCGCGAATAAGTAGTATGAAAAAAGTACTAATTGTTATATTTCTGTAGTAAGTGTTGCATATTATGAAAGCATTTAATTAGAATGTTGAGTTTTGAAAGATTTTTTAACCAAAAATATAATTTTTTAATATGGGTGGGGCCATCTTGACGTTAAGTCAATTCCCCTCACTTTAATGTCAATTTTCTGCCAAACGACTTGAGCACCAAATTCCTTAATTGGGCACCTAAGTAACACCTAATTAGCACTTAATTTTTATATAAATTTTATAGTGATTTTCTAAAGGGGGGCTAACTTAATGAACATTCTCGCGACTTATATTGTTCGTGAATCGAGTCTCGACGGGCTACCCTGCGAGTTCAATATCGCGCGATATGTTGCCGACAATATAGTATATTGCGGTTCGCGTTTGTTAATAATAAGAATATTTATTTTTATTTGCCGTTCCTCTCGTCCCGATCAGTCGCGGTCGCAACAATCCGGATTTATCTTTGCTTGTCATCCGTGTATGTCTTGTTTTCATTTTTTTTGTTGTTTGCGTCAATTTCGTTCGTTCGTTATAGTCTCTTAGCGCGTGTGATTCTGAAATATCGAATATCATGTCTCTGTATTTTTCTGAATATCGACTAAGATAGTGTGAATATTGCCGAAAATTTGTGACCGACATATGTAACATTTTTGCCGCGCTCTTTTATTGTATGTATTGTTTTTTGTTTCTTTCTTTTGTATGTACTGCCGATAACAATTCTGGCTGGCGACCGGCCAGACTCATTTCAAGTTGTTAATATTAAATTTTATTCTTATTATCAACCAACGAGCAAGTTTCTCTACCTTCATTTAAACACCGCTTTCTGAGCCCACGCCTCTCCGTAATTGTTATAAAACTGAGCTGCCGAGTGATGTTACCGTCACGTTAAAGTTATTAGTCGTAAAACATTTGTCCAAGTCGAAATTTTTGGAATTCGGCGTGTACAGCCACGCCTGGCGCCCAACTATCGCATTTGGTGAGTAAAATCTAGTTTTTTTTTGGAAACAAACGTGCCGAACGTGTGGCATACAAGATCCGCTACAAGATCCGAGTGCGAAGTGCCCGTGACCTGGGCACGCCAAGGTTTTTGTATTTTACTTTTGTTTTAAGTTCGTTTTATGAGGTCTATAGTCTTGGCTAGACCTGGGTCTAGTACTTGACTAATTGCGTTAATTGTCTGTGTTTTTTACTTATACAGAAAAAAGATTTATGTAATAGATAGTCTGTATATTGGGATAGTTTTTATGTACTTGGCGTATGTTTTTTCTTTTGACTAAAGACTTTTTTTTAGAGTGATTTCACTACTTTTTTTAAATGGAATAGTAAAAGTATATGCACATTTTATTTTATTTTTTTAGCGAAACATATATATATGCATTCTTAGCATTTCTAGGCCTATTGCACTTTTGTATCTTTGTATCATGTATTGTTATCCAGTTTATGTTTTTAGTATGCACTAAATTTGTATACCATCCAATGTTCAAATCTTCCCCATAATAAAAAATTGCACTAATAACTTTATATATATTGCTACTAGGATGTATTTTTGTAGTAGATACATCTTTAATATTGCAATTGATTTTTGTGGTTTTAGTATTAATAGTTGTAAATATTAATAATTGTAAAATGACGATTTGTAATTTGATGTGTATCATCTCGGAAACAGATCTCTTGACACAGAATCTTCCTTTTTCAAGAGATCCGTTTCCGAGATGATACACATCTCCTTTTTCAAGAGATCCGAGATGATACACATCAAATTACAAAGCAATTCAAGTAACGTCATGTTGGACACGGACAAGCTGAAACCATATTTTTCATTTTTGGAAAATTACAAGGCGACTTAGTCTTTGTTCGGTTAAAGCAATGGGGTGGGACCGTTACATGTATCTTGAATATGAGGAAGCCGCTCAGTCTGTCAGTTACATTCGAAGCG